GAAGAAGAAGAAGAAGAAGAAGAAGAAGAAGAAGAAGAAGAAGAAGAAGAAGAAGAAGAAGAAGAAGAAAAGGAAGAGGTGGAGGGGAAGGAGGAGGGAGAGGAAGAGGAAGAAAAAGAAAAGAGAAGAACCCAGTGAGGGCTATGGTGCCCTGGGTGGACTGTATGGAGGAGGTGGGTGGGGAGCTGTGAGAAAAACGATTTAGCTTCAATGCACTGGGATGTGTAGACTGGTTACTGCAGGCAGGCCATTAGAGAGAGGGGTGAGAACAGCGACCTGGGCGGGTACTGGGGTGGGAAGAGCACCTGGGCAGCTGGCTAGGCTGGTGCCTGGGCCAGGACAGAGGTGCTGGGCACAGAGACTTAAGTGCAACTGTGCCTGCCGAGGTTAACGGGAAGAAACAAGGGTCGTCTCTTCAGTTCAGAGAGAGTGTGAAACAGCATGCTGGGAGCATTTGGGACCCAGGTGTAGGGACCGAGCCTCGACAGCTGCAGGCTGTGTGCTCAGCGGGGTGAGGGGGCGGAGCCAGGGCTGGAGCCAAGATCTGGGTGGCACCTACTGGGCATCAGCAGCCTAGTGTTGCCTAGAAGCATCTGCAAACTAAAACCGGAGTTGAATGGCTGGAGCCAAGGAGCTATGAGTGTGTCCTGCCAGACCCAAGCAGGTTTTATGGGGAGAGTCAAATGATAAATTTTAGGTAATTGGTGAATGTACTTTTGGTTTACAATTTGAGTTGAAACATTTCTTGTGCGTTACAAATACATGAATTACAATTACAGGGTTAAGTTGCTCTTTGCTTTCTGTTGGTTTAAGATAAGAACACTGATTTAAGATTGCTCAGAGGTCTTTTGAGAGCTAGTCAAATTTAAAATGTAATGAAAAAAAAAGAGATAAAAGGACACTGTGTAGTCCAACTGGCTGCAGCCAAGTTTGTTATAAAAGGTTTATAGTAAGTGGGATGAAAAAGATATTAAGAAGGCTATAAGTATTAGAGACACTTTTTTAAAAATGTACAGGGTCTCACTACGCAGCTCATAGTGATTCTCCTGCTTTCAGCCTCCCCAGTGCTGGGATTACAGGGGTGTGCCACAACACCAGGACTCTGGCTGGCTCAGCGTGTCCTGGGGAGAGGGCTGATGTGGCATATGGTGCTGTGGATCAAACCTCAGTCCTGCACTTGCCTAAGCAGGTGCTTTAGTCCACTGAGCTATCTTTGAACTCAGGCCCTTGCACTTGCCAGGAAAGTGCTTAATCCACTGAGCCATCGCCCCGGCCTCTTCCAGAGATACTTTCGACATGAGAAGATTGTGTATGGCAAAAGTTTTGTCCTGCCAAAGAGAAAACAACAGAGATAATGACAAAACTGAAAAAATTACATATTTCAGGGGAAATCTTGTGGAAGTAGTTTGTCAAAGGAAATATGTGTGGTTACTTTTTAGCTTGGTGGAGCTTAGATTGTTTCTTTTAAAAAAAACTTCCAGGAGGAGATGAAGGAAAAGTGGTTGAGATGACATTTGTGTCACAACAGGGTAAATACGGAAAGACAAGGGTCAGCACCTATCCCATTTGCATGTGTGTTAAAGAACTTTAAAAAAAGATATATAGGGCTGGGGAGATAGCTCAGTGGAATAGGTGCTTGCCTGGCAAGTGCAAGGTCCTGAGTTCGATTCCTGGTACCACTTTAAAAAAAAAAAAAGGATATGCAGGAGACTAAAGTTAACCCCTAAGAGGTTGAGAGCTCTTTATGAAATAGTTTGGCCCTCCTTGGGTGTCATATGGCTAACCAAGGGGATGACTGGATGTGTTCATGGAATATATGGTTTGTGTCTAGGTGTCCTTACACCTTCCCTGGTGTAGACAGCTTAAATACAATATAAGGTAGGGAGAGAAGCTCACTAGTGGCCATCCCACTTCTCCTCCCTTTGCTCTTTGCTGTTTTCCACCTCCATGAACCGCTGCCCTCTGCCATGTGCCACTCTGCCTTGGAGCCAGCTGGGCACGGACTAAAACCTCCACAGACTGTGAGCTAAATAAGCCTTTTCTTCTTTAATTTTAGGTGTCGGGTATTTTGTCCCAGCAAAAAGGAAAAAAGTAACTGAGACAGGGCCATTTATGGCCTTTATAGTAGTGAGTGGAGCTGAGCACTTGGTAGTGAAATAACCCATTGGGCTGCTACCCAGGAAAAATGTGACTATTGTCGGAGCCATTGGAGTCTCAGAAAAGAGGCTATTTTGCTGGCCAGAAAGTTGTCACAGTGGGACAAGAGGTCCAACATGTGCTTCTGTATCTTCCAAACTGCTCAGTTTCCCTGCTGGGGGGACCTACTCTAAACACTACAGGCCCAGATTACCTTTGGGGCCACAAGGAGATGTGACTTCAAGCCTGGCTGGACCAAGGGCTGTGGTGTTAACTCTTACTGTCCCACAAGCAGATGAATGGAGACTGTGTTCAGATAAGTCACAAAAGCCAAGAACAGGTGAGTTACATGGGCTGACATAAAATTCTCGGGGTGTGGACCAAAGATAACCCACTGGGCTGGCTGTAAATCAAGTATCGGTGATAGCGGAACACTGGTGTGGTCCACCAGGACCCCTGTCCCCAAGAAGCAATACAAGGCATTCAAGGACATTGAAAGTGGCTGCTCAAACATGGACTCTTAGCTAGATGTCAGTTGTCTGGGAGCACCCTTCTTTTGCTGGTGTGCAGACCATGCACTAGTGAGCCCCTCCTGGTGCAGGACGTACATGCTGAAAAGCAGGCCGTGTGGACCATCCACCCCGTAGGCTCGAATCCACACACATCGGTGGGACTCATTCCAGCAAGGGCTGCCTGGGTTGCCTGCTTGGCCTTGGTGCTTTTTCTGTCTCTACCTCGCACCAGTCTGGCGGCCCATCTTTGCACGTCAGTGGTCCTGCGCCGAGGTCGGGCTGACGCCAAAGATGACAGCACTGCTCTGGTCATTCTAGAAGCTAGTTAGTCCACACATGGCTGAAGCATGAGGATCAACATGGAGGTATAACAGCAGAATCTCTTTTCCTTTTGGTTATAATTCTTCCTCTGCTCAGTAGGGAGCCATCCTCTCTTAATGGGGAAAGTGATAATAATAGTGGTGTTTGCTGTTGAAGCTTTTTATAGAAAGCACCAAGGAGGGGAGCGAAGCAAGACTTGAAGGAAAACAGCTTGCCCAGCCTTGAACAACCCCTCCCTGACCCTCCAACCTCCTCCTCCCCTGCGGCGCTAACCTCTTGTTCTGGTACTGATAAGCCTGGCAACCACGACCTGTAACCAAAGCCTACGGCAGGCTCATAAGGCTCCGTCTTCTTTCAAGACTCAC